CGCATTCTCGACGAGTCTGGAGCGGCTAAAAAGTTCCAGCCTCATCTACCAATCACATAGTGCAAACGCTGTTTGGGCTTCTACGCCATTCGTGGCTGCTCCCGCGCTCCAGCATGCTGGAACTGCGGATCTAACATTCACTGTGAAACAGGGTGCATGGCTCTCATACGTTGTCGCAACTATGGGGAACCGGTGACCAAAGAGCAGCTCGCGTGGATTCGTCAGATCGAGCAAGGGAGGTTTGCAAAGGTGGCACGAGCTCAGACTGCAGCCAAAAGGGCCGAAGAGGTGATTATCACCTAAGCAAAAGATGTCTCGATGGCCGAGGGAGTAGGGTCCGGAGTGCTGGAATCTGAAGAAGAAGCGTGAAGATACAGCGACCTCGATAATGTCCCTTTTGGGGCATTTACTAACCAATAGAAGGATACCGGCTGGATCAAAGGTGCCCGCTAACTCATCTCTTGCTCCCAACGGAGATTGAGTAAAATTTTCATTTGGAAGGTGTGACGGGCGAGGAAATGTGTGAGAAGCGCATTGGCTGGGTCTAACATGGAGGAATCTTCTGTCTTTCGGAGTTTTTTTTATTTTCGTGATTTTTCGTTTCTGTTCAATCAGCTGTACCTTTAGCAGCGATTCATAAAGTTGGAACGAGTTAGGCTGTGTGCGGAGGGCAAGACTAAACATCTGTACGCAGTGGTCTCTACGAACCTGGGAGTGAAATATTCTCCCAGAGCCAAGTTCATTCAAATTTCGCAATATCAAAGAAGTTGGCCCACGAGGCAATGATTCAAATTGCTCCACCACGTCGACTTTCTCTGGCCTCAGCCGGTCACAAAATACACGCCTACGCCGATATTTACACCCGACGGAGGAGGCAAAGCGTGGCGCACAAATCTGGAAGACAGTTCCTTGGGATGGATGTGAGAGGGATCAGGACAAGTTGATAAGATGGTGCAAAGGAAGGATACAATCTCGAAGGGCGTGAAATTTCGAATTTTAGCAAGAGTTTTACGAATTGAGCTTTGTGCGCGCCAACACTTTGCTTGCGAGAGTGCAGCTGACACTATAAAAACAAGCCGACGATGGAAGGTGTTGTAATCCGCCTCCTGGTGGTGTTCTCTGGTATAGTTTGAGTAGCCTGGGCACCTAGTCCACTTGGGAAAGAGACGCCTCAGATTAGATTTCGCGCAGACGAAAGTAAATAGATGATAGAGGCATATCTGGATAACTCAGGGTTTTTGAGTGTTTTTGAGTGTTGGAAATATCGCGCGATGAAATGGGCGTATTATTCATGGAGCGAAAGTAGAAGTTGACTAAATGAGTGTCGTGTTCGGATTACGGCTACGAGTTTGGGAAATATGCGCTACAAGTTCAAGTGTAAGCGACACAGCCTAAGCCACAGCATAAACGAATTTTTTTATATTTGTTTTTTGCATCAGATTTTAATTGCGTATGCAGCCATCTAGCTATGACACAATATCAAAGAAAAGTACAGAAAAGATGACTCAATTTACAAGAGGAGCACTCATGCCTCGGATTTCATTTGCAAGTACCACTGCGAAGTTATGGTGGCTTTTTCTTCACCCCAAGTCAACCCTCATACGTGAATACCCACCCAGGGGAACGTCTCAAAAACCCTGAGTTACCCAGATATGCCTCCATTATCTTTCAACTTTTCTCCGCGGGAAATTTCATCTGAGATGTCTCCTTCCCAAGTGGAGTAGGTGCCCAGGCTACTCAAACTATACCAGAGAACACCACCAGGAGGCGGATTACAACACCTTCCATCGTCGGCTTGTTTTTATAGTGTCAGCTGCACTCTCGCAAGCAAAGTGTTGGCGCGCACAAAGCTCAATTCGTAAAACTCTTGCTAAAATTCGAAATTTCACGCCCTTCGAGATTGTATCCTTCCTTTGCACCATCTTATCAACTTGTCCTGATCCCTCTCACATCCATCCCAAGGAACTGTCTTCCAGATTTGTGCGCCACGCTTTGCCTCCTCCGTCGGGTGTAAATATCGGCGTAGGCGTGTATTTTGTGACCGGCTGAGGCCAGAGAAAGTCGACGTGGTGGAGCAATTTGAATCATTGCCTCGTGGGCCAACTTCTTTGATATTGCGAAATTTGAATGAACTTGGCTCTGGGAGAATATTTCACTCCCAGGTTCGTAGAGACCACTGCGTACAGATGTTTAGTCTTGCCCTCCAGCATAAACGAATGTGGCGCCATCTAGGCATGGAAAACTCTTATAAACCCCTTGTGCCCACGCCATACAGCCACTTATATATCTAATAGGTAGCCTGAAGCGCTACCATTTTACTCATTCTAACCTCATAAATACACACAAGATCGTGTCGGGAACCTGGATGAAATGGAGGGCCCGTACGTCCATAATACTGTGACTCCATTCTCAACATTGAGACTTTCCCCTGGGTGGGTATTCACGGATGAAGGCTGACGTGGGGTGAAGTAAAAGCCGCCATAACTTCGCGGTGGAACTTGCAAATGAAATCTGAGGCATGAGTGCTCCACTTTTGAATTCAGTCATCTATTATACACTTCTCTGATATTGTCTCATAGGTTGATATTTGCATGCAATTGAAACTGATGTAGAAAAAAATAGAAAAAAGAGTTAGGCTGTAGGAAAGATTGCTGGGAACCTTGCCGGCTCCATTGGTCCTTCACCCATTGTGAACATAGAGCTTTAGATTAGGACCTATTGATCTAAACAAACAAACCTATTGGCTAATACGACCAACGACCAAAGATTCATACCTGCGTCCCACCAGAATCTAGATATAGTCATTAGAGGGCCAGGATATCCGCGCAAACAGGTCTTGGTCTATGCTCTACAATTAGCTACTGCACCATTGGGGCTGACCTCAAGAACACAAGTGTTGATTTTTATTGGACAAGTGAAAGGGAAGGATACCAGGGTATAGTCAAGCTAACTCAGTCTCGAACTGATAGCCATTGTACTTTCTGTTGATTACCAGAAAAGCCACCAAAAAAATACTTGAAGGGTGAGGGTGCTTTTATAGCTAGGTTCCCCCTCCCACCCACGTAAATACGGATGAGGACATAACCGCCTGCTTGGGCCCATATGGTGTTAGATCGGGTGAAATGAATTCGAAATCAAGGGGATACTTTTACTTATCTAGTTTAACGTCCAATGCGGTATCTATATACAGAATCATGAAGACAGTAAGCCATATGAAGAAGGGTAAAAGCTTTTAAGCAACAAGACCCGTTGTCCTACCACTTTGAACCGACCCAGTTTTATACTTAGTACGTTCCTTTCAACAATCACTTTTTATACTTTCCCCAAATTTCGTTAACTCCCCCTTTGATCAGACTAATCCTATTAGAAATTGAAATTAGAAGGCATCTCCTCACTCGGCGTTGGTCGACAGAGTGTTCGAAGAGTCGGCCCCGATGGTGGTGCCACTGTCAAGGGGATGGTTGGTGCCGTAGGAGCCTGTACTACTTTTCGCGGTCGTCCCGGCCCTCTTCTGAGTTCTTCAGTCTTCTTCCTAGTGACTAGAGTGAATCCCTGATCATGTGTCGTCCGAATTGTTTGTTTGGCTTCTGCCAGGGGATTTCTCTTTCCAGCTTTCCGCCGTTCTTTACAGAAGCTCTATCCGAGCCTTCTCCACACTTCTCTTGGAGACTTGGTATGTGTGACAAGCTACTTTTTGCCATGAACTATGCTCTTTGACGCAGTTCGTCTAGAAACTCCTTTCCTCGGACATACAGGAGTTTGGTGAGCAAAATCAAAGGGATACAAACATGTATAAAAATTAATTTCGATTGGATGTAAATCGTATTTTTTACTTGAATTCGACTGAGCATTTAATCATCAGTACCTCCGTGAACGTTTTTCCTACTATATATCTCATCTTAATGCGTAATATTAAGGACCGAAGCTTGAATGTCCTTACCAGGTAACTCGTCGGACTTATATGTATGTTTCTATTGGGTCTATGACTAGGTAATTATGCTCCCTCCTATGCCTTTTTAACGGTCTATTTCCAGCAGTAATAGCTACACGGGCCTTCATTTGAGTACACATTGAGAGGAGCCAATGTCCGTTATCACTTCATCTCTCTATTCAGCAAAACGAAGTGCATTTTCACATGTGTAGCTGGAGAGAAATTTCCCAAAAGCCACAGGGTGCGTGACTCCCCTGAGACGGAAATCTGGAATAAAGCCGAAGACATATCTACCCCTTTTAAGCGTTCAAAGAGGTCGTAAAAGGTTATCAGAAAATTCTTAGTCAAGATCAATTACAGTGAAGTCTCCTAGCCAGGCATCCAAAGGCCTTTACTAACGTGGGGTTGTCAATTGAATCGTGTAGTTTAGATACTTCCCCGGCTAGTATAGTCGAAAGTAAGATTAGAAGAGTCGGTTTCGTTGAAGAGACTAATTCTGTCAAGTAGGGCGAAGAGCTTTTTTACCTTGCTTTCTTGTGCCTTTTATTTGCCTGCCCTTTGGTATCATGCGTTATGATGTGACGAGAGCTTCTCCGACTACTGTTGTAGCGCTTAGCAACGTAGTATCGTTCCTTTCTACCAGAATCACAATCGTCATCTTGATTGTCATATGCGTCATCGGAAGCGTATCTTCGAGGCAAGAGGAGGAGATAATTCAGCTCAAAATTGAAAAGATGATATTCGATCTAGGCTTTTCAGACTCTGCCGTGAGAGCTGGAGGCTCGTAGGGAACACCACTGACAGGTGTTGAGGATAGTCCCCCAAAAAAGCGAAGCCATTGTTCTGTCATTAATTCCTCTTTCTAATCCGTGAAACGATGTCCATTTTTGGCGTGTAGCCACAGGGAGAGTCCTCAAAAGCTATTGGTTAGGGGTCTTGTCCTAGAGCTTAATTCTTATCAGCTGTAAGGTGTGGACGACCAGGGCCGGCCTTGAGGTTCAATGTCAGCCGCTTCCACCGTTTCCCATCTCAAGGGAAAGAACATTTTGGCCTGTAACCTAAAACTAAATCAACCAAAAATCCCATGCTGGTTTGATAATCCTCCACAAAGCTCAGGGTTGAAAATCTCGCATTCTTCTCGTGTGCATCGATGTATCCTTGGGTATGCATCGCGGAAGTTGTATTTGGGGATTCCGATATTACCCCACTGCTCTCCTGTCATAAGTGGCAAATATATCCAATCTAACCCTCTTTTCATGTAAGAACAATCGAGATAAACGTCCAATCAATCATCTAAATATTCGATATGTTTCGATTGTTGACATTCGACCCGGCCACATCATGGCAAATACTTTGACCCATCCTTCGGAATACCATAGTCCGCTGGGCGATTAGTTGGCCTTTTTTGTTTGTAAAGATAGAGTTAGAGGTCTAGCTATGTGACGTCTATCAGGTGTATATGGACCTATTTGTATAACAGCCTTACCTTGAGGCTCTCGAGTGGGAAGGTCTACTATGGTGGTTCTAATGTAGAGTTGTCGAGCTTGACCCTCATGATCAACTAGCATAAAGTTATAATATTCGCATTAGAGATTAACCTGTGAATAAAGAAACTGATTAGATTGATCTATAGGTGGTTTTTCATACGCTAGGAACCTGGAGATACTCAAATCTAAATGAACCAATGTTAAGTTAATAGGTCTTGAGCTCAAGCGTGCTCTACGACATCTCAGGGCGGCGTTCGAAGATGAAGGTGCAATGATGTGCGCAACGCAATTAATATGCAAGCATTTCGTAGTGAGCGTCCGTGCAGCTGTCACGCTACCTGGGTGTACATTTATGTGTCGATGCATAATGTACGTCCTGGCATTAGCGTATTATTTAGGCGGAGACGGCGGCATGCGTACAATCACAGTATCATTTTCAGACCGTGTGGCAGGACTGCGCCTCCATCTAACACAACAGAGTCGACGCTCTTTTAATGCTGATGGATGGCGATAAATGGCTGTGCAGCTGCTCCAGTCATATCTTTACCGTGCATAAACTTAACCTTGCCCTATGACCAATCCTGACAAGGACCCTGCTATCATGGGCTAACCTAGCCCAGCAGTTGATCTCAAGGTCTTTTTCCAGAATTCCGTAGTAAGCACTATGGTTGATCGATTGATGTTCCTAGAAGTAATGTGACTCGGGTCCAAGCCCCGGACTTCCAGCGCGTAGTCTTGTATCTTATGATGACCTCGTCGGCAAATGGATAGCTGTCGGTCTCCATAGCAACAGGGACGGGAAGAGGGGTCCCTTCCTTGGAATAGCCAGTACCGTAAACAAACCGGTTACTTCTATCTACAATCACTCGCCACAGCTTCCCACGTGCCTAACCCTCTGACATGGCGAAAGAATGTCCTGCAATTAATCAAGCTGAGTCTGTTTGTAGGTTCTAATGAGCGTCTCGCCTTGTGGACGATCTACGGTCATGGAATGATAACTGAGAGACACCTAATATGCCTATCCTTGTCTTTGATCAGGAAGTGGGGCTTAAGTCTTGGATAGAGCTCAAATGAGGTGAGAATCTAAATATTTTGTCGCTTACTCCCCCTTAAACTGGCATCTGGATGGAGATTCCACTAAACTAATCCGTCTAGCTTCCCCCACAACAGAACTCGCTAGGAGTTAATTTATTGCTTACATTACTCCCGGAACACGTCCATAGAACTCCGTAATTAGCTTAGGGATGGATGGGAATGTTTTCCGGACAAGCAACATCACCTGGACCTTCGTGCCTGCGGCTTGGAGACAATTCGCCGCTACCTGAAGCTCTACTCCAATTTATGAGCGTCTCGAAGAACGATAAGCATTCATGTGGGACCGTGGTCCCAAAGCAGATGAAAAATTGCCATAGCTGATCCGCACAGCATGAACCAGCCCAGAATTGACATGATCCTAGCATTCATGAATTAGAGTAAGAACTGTCTGTGCTCGAAAAAAGAAGCTCTTTTCTTACAGATCTAGCCAGGGTCTGCATCACTACCACATCAAACGTTTAAGGTGGTGCAGATAGCCACAACTTCATAATGTATACTGATATTGCTCGTCGCCTCTTCAACGCGTTCATCATTCCGGCTGCCAGTGGTTGTGGGATTCTGAGGCAGGGGACTGAGGAAAGTCCCAGATATCTGTATTTAGCAGATTGAAATAACTTCCGAGTGGACACAAACCTTTGTTAACTTCGGTCCCAATATCAACGAGCCCACACAGTTCCCGAGTCCAGTCAGCAATATGACCAAGATCAGTATCATTATTTCTTCCACTCACTTCTCAGCCCAACTTTCACTGGTATCCGAGGCTTGAAAAAAATATTCAACCAAAACCATGCGCTTCATAATCAGCCCGCTCATATTCATTTTAGGCTGTGCTGGTGCCATAAGCCATGATCTCTCTTGCCTGCGAGACCTAATATCTTCTTTATCTCCATCATGCAGAGATTCGATTTCTATAATTGCTTGCCTCCACACCACAGAAACTGCACCAGTTTCTGCAATTGAGTCATGCTTCCGCCGTAATGCCTGCCCTGATGAAGATGTTCATTCAGCGACAAATCGCTTCATAAGCAGTTGTCGAACAGATCCAAATACAGATGGCAAAGAAAATACCGAATCAAGCACTGCATCCGTCACTTCGAATCAAAACACACATCCCACAACTACTGCGTCACATTCTCAAGCAACTTTACCAAACGAAAGCACAACACAATCACTAGGCCATTATGAGACGAATATTATGGCGACACGGGCGACCTCATCCTTCAAGTGCAGTGTAACTAGCATGATACCCACAAGTGTATGTTCGTTTTCTGGTCAGCATACGCTAGGCTGCACATCAACTGCTATAGCAACTGCATCCTGTGCACCCGAGAATATTTGGTTCGTGAAGCTCCCCATGTCAATTATTTGAGAGCTTGAGAGGCTCATCTAACAAGTAATTACAGCTTTAAATCAACCGGCGGAGCCGATGTCTGTATGCGGCGTGACGAACGTCTTGGGACAGCAGGTCTCATAATTACCATCGTATTTCTGTCTGCGATCTCTATTAGTATGACTGGAGTTATCATTATATACCTGCGAACAAAATCTTCTAAATACGAAGATAACCAGGCTGTCATTATGGAGTGTAGTCCTGATGAGATTTCAAAGGAAGAAAATGGGCCCCCATCCTTAGATCATGGCTACGGCCAAAAAGAAAGAGTGAGTAACGAGCCTAGAGCTATGAATGGATTGCCCGCTAGGCCTAGGCAAAGCTACTACAGTGAGAACCCACCAACCCGAGTGTTATTAGGGCCTAGAACGCCACAATTCAGATCTGGTCATGAAGAATGGAATTCAGGAGCCGCACGACGGTTATAACACAATAATGCGGGACTAAACCCGATTGTAATGAGAAAGGAGTTTTGGGTGGCGTGGGACCTGGATACTGATGATGAGCTGGGAGAACAAACCGGGAAGACTACCTAAAAAATATACACTTGATTAGCGCAGTTTAATCTGTAAAAATATAAGCATAGAAATGCAAATTTCTTCAAACTCAATCCTTGAGTGCAAGAATAATAATTACTTTTACGAACAGCAACTTTCGTATTATACGGCGCGACTAACATTATGATATTTTTCAACTTTTGCATAACTGCTAAGCATTATCATCTCATTCTTTTCTAACTGTCAATCAATTTATGTCACGCTTTGCGGCTCTGAGTACAAGAGAAAGGCCTCTGTTGTGCGCCGGGCTGATGAAAGCTTCTATCGACGATCGCAAACGGTTCCCAACTCGAAAAGAACATTTATGTACAGCTGGTACCTAGAATTGAATAAAGGGAACAATTAGTTGGTATTTGTATGTATCACCCAATTTTATATCTTCTATTAGCTAGACTTTCACCATGCCTGAAAAAGAGAATTACTAAGGGGATTAGGAAGGCGCGCGACGGGGAAATTGTTTTTCGCTTATCATCTTCTTCCATTCTAGCGTCATCTTAGATATGACGGAAAACAAGTTGGTGATGAATAAATCGATTTATTAAACTATATGAGGAATATTTAAAATTCTAGCTACCTCTAACAGATATTTATAATAGTTGATCATCCTCGTAAATCTACGGACTAGTGACTTGTCCTTAGGCACAGTAATTTACACCCAGCCACGTATTTCTAGATGTCACTTAGTTGTAATAAAGTTCAGCCTCTTGATTATTAGTGCTGTTTCGTTAAGCTCCAGCTTCTCCCCATACTGTGTTATCATAATAATTCTCAATATTAAGCTTATGTCTACTCCTAAACTCAAACAATTATCAAACCGTAACATTACTGTAGTTCCTCCAATTCACGCTGATAATTTTCTTCCTACGGGACGTGCGCCAATTCGCCTGAAGAGATCCTTGTTATGCTCAAATATGTAGTGTGGTAAGTTTAGTAGCTGGTACATAGGTAGTTATCATGGCATTGTGGTGCATAGAGGAGATTCAGTCTCTGTAAAACAGCATTACATGTAATACTGTGTGCAGTACAAGAGATGGATTATTGATATAGGACAAATGCCTGTAGTAAAAAATCAAGCTGCCTAAAAAAAAAAAGGGAGAGAATATGTACGAACAAGTAACAGAAGGATAGATCTTGCCAACTGGACGGGAATGTGCGGTGAACAACAAACCAAGAAAACAGATACAGAGATGGTTAAAGTTATGGCATACCAAGAGTGGGCGAAATCCTTCGACAAGCAGATACGTACTCGTCAGCCTCGGCAACTGCAGATCCCGAAACTTGGAGAGTGGCCAAATTTTGCCAAAGTAGAGGATCTGGACGGCAAAAACTGAGTTATCAAGACTCCCCATTCTTTCTACATCGTGACCTGACAAGGGCCCAAATAAGTTTGGCGATGCAAATACGAAGTGAGCACATGGGGTTTAACTTGTATTTACACAGAAGAAACGTACCCGGAGTATTAAGTCCAGGTTGTCCATGCGGCTACCAATCACAGAACCCCAAGCATATGATTATGTCCTGCCCCCAATGGTCAAATGGTAGAGCTGAGACCTGGAGACGAGCGAAAGATCGGTCCTACGAAGTGACGATGAACAATCCCGGAGACACCAAAAATACAACACAGTGGATCCTAAACCATGGTTGGATAGAGCAATTTCAAGTGACACAGGCGGTCGAAATGCTGCTGAGGGAAAGGAAAAGATCAAATAATGCTTGGGGCGGATAGAGATAATCTGGTTGGTTTACATGGATGGTAATATAGTGTAACTGCGCTCCCTGAAAAAAATATGTGAAAACTAGACATCAAGCAGAGAGGTGTGAGTGATTTTCACCATAAAGGTTTTCTCCCATGTAAATATTACAGATTGTAGACACCTGCGTGGGCCCATTGGGCGCCAAATCAGGATGATGAAATCAAATTCAGATATAGGCCAAATGTCACAGCTGCTCCGTTGGGAGCACACTTTAGTGCGCTGCATACTGCTTACGTGATCGGTCTACAAGCGGACTGGCTAGGGGATAATAGACGAGCTTTTCCCAATATGTAGCAATACAATCATCACAATCCCAATGACGAAAACAACCCAACGGTACAATATGAAGGTGCAAGGCTAGAGCAACGATGAGATCTTGGACGGCATTTATATTTCGGAGTCAATGAGGATTTCAAGGGCTCGGGCGCGTGATGGCCGAGGCTGAGGAGGAAATTGCGCTACGGCGTGTATACAGCTGGTTTCTGGACGGTTAGGCTTGGTATGACTCAACACATGGGTGAAATCTGAGGTGGTCCGGTCATTTAAGTGGGACGAGGCTTATCTGTACTTCACAGTATTTAACCTGATCCGACCCAACCCCACACGTGCTTAAGCTCCAATAGGAGTGCAACGGTAGCCATGTAACCTAGCACGTCAAAGAACAAAACAAAAAAAAAAAAAAAAAAAAACTTCTCTTCCATACACAACTAGCAAGATTTCTCTTCAAGAACTATCTTGGATCTTACGGCGCCAGCACCGAGTCAGCTGACAAACAATGCTAGTAACCACGAGAGTAGCTTTGATGGGACTGGCTGTGTGAGGCTGGTAATTAACACTTTAGCTCGCATGGTAATGATACGGAGCAAGGTGCGATAATTGTATGAAGGAGCAATTCCTCCACTTTATCCTGGAGAATGGAATCATTAACAGACTTAACTTTTGCACTTACTCTGGTATCTAGCATCATCAATTGATACAGCGACATGAAACTCCATTAGTGTGCTGGATGAAATACTAGTTCAACTAGAATTTGTAGGAATGTGGCAACTAGCTTCTTTTCTGTGCAGGCTACGTGAACAGCCCCCTCCAAAATTTTGACTATTGCGCAGCTTCCTCTTTTACAGTGTCATAAAAAGGCGCTAAGGCTCTGCTTATGATCATATCCTCTAACATCGAAGAGTTGTAGCTAGCAAAGAGAAGTTTACCAGTTGCTAGCTTTTTTGCCGATAGACCCTAAAACCAGTAGAAAGGAGTCCGGTAGTGTGAACAAGATTCAAAATCTTGTAGGGTTTCATAGGAGAAATACACTTTATTTTGAATAAATCAGAGATCAAACATTGCTCTAGCATCGTGTATGCCGAATCTATGTGTATTTAGAAGCCCAAGTCCCAGAAAAGCCGTCCATGAACGCAGAGAGACATCATCTGAGTTATCACCCCGAACTTTTGAGTCTCCGGACGAGTAACGAAGATTTAAATCTCTATTAGATTCTTTGATGCCCCTGTATTTTGAGGTAGATACTACAGAACTCCTGCGTTATCGAGCCCCAGCTGTAGCGTTGTAATTTCTCAACCATCTAAATCTTATTATTTTCCCGGAAAATGCTAACAAGTATTGTTGAGATCTAGACATGCTAGACCGAACTGCACGCAGTGCGGAGTAGACGAAAACTACTCATCTTCGATCGCTACCAGCTTTGGTGAGGTCTCGGTTGGTAATGATCTCGGTGGTGTGAATGTTATTCCATCACATAATCAGAACACAATGTTTCTACCTAAGCAAGGTAGAACATAGATAGACAATTAGGAGTAGATTAAACACAAAACACTTTTAACTGCTGAAATATAAGTTCAGTAAAACCCAAACCTCACTGATCCTAACCTTTTATCTCTGATCCTTAAATCTCCAATATCTTACAATTCGTACAGTATTGACTTGACGGTCAACGTTCACTTCTATCATTCCAGATACCCCCTAGAACTTTAATAGGTATAAGGTATCTGTGATACAAGGCCGACCAGTTACAGAATAATTCTATCAACTTACAGGTACAGATCATCAATCGAATTCGGATTGTGCAATTTTGGAGTGAGAAATCTCTTGGAGGCTTGGATATGTTTTTGATGGTCTGCGAGAAAGATCGAGATACTTGAGGCTCTTGGGTTGACAATATATCAGCTCCTATTTTGGCACCCAGTTCTAGAGCTTCATAATGCGAAGAGCCACTTCTGGCAAAGTTGATCTGAAGAAGCGGATGCAAGTGATTTCGACTTTTCTTGAAACCGGGTTATTTCATTGTGATCATACCTCAAATTTAATCAGAATTGTGAAACTCGACGTGAAGCTCACTATTGGAATACAAGCTGAATTAAGAGGGCATGAGTAGTATGAGGGTGGGCTCCTAACGAAGGGGTCAGGGGAAGATGAAGAGCGCGCTAATCCTCATGTCCCTCTGGATATATCAACTGCATTCTCTCCTTATCTGACCGAAGGAATACCCTGACAGCATGGAAGGACTAGTCTTGGTATCTAAGAGGAGAAGATTTGGTTTGGTTTGTTCATTAATGTGCTAGGTAAAGTAACTACCGTTGCACTCCTACTGGAGCTTAAGCACGGGCGGGGCCGGGCTGTATCAGGTTAACTACCATTAAGTACATCTACCTCGTCCCACCTCAGAATTTACCCATGTGTTGAATCATGTCAAGCCCAACCGTCCAGAGAACCCCCTTTTGGCGCGCCGAAGCACAAATTTCTCCTCAGCCTCGACCACCACGCGCCCGAGCCCTTGAAATCTTCGCCATCTGTAACTTTTCCCTTCCATTCATTCCCAGCTTTGGCTCATCTCAATATCTCCTCATCTCATCCAGGGGTCGTTTTCATCACTGGAGGCCTCATCCAGTCGCCCACCAAGGCCTCCTCAGTTTGTATCCCCTTTTAGTTCCTTCATACAGCATCCCTCTGTCCTTCAGCCGATCTCGTCATCCCAAAAACTTTGTTAAATTTCCACCCCTCCGGCCTTGCCCCGTCGCTGCCGTACCCCTAACCGTGGAGGTCGAAAACGCGACGGAGAGCTCAAGACCTAGGCACCGATACCCCAGCTTTTGTCGAACGCTCTAG